TATTTATTTTTGTGTATTTGGAGTTTGTTTTCTTAAAAGATGTTTTTCCAATGAAGAGGGTTTCTCCCAGTGAAAAATATTCTTCACAATTAATGGATGCCAATCACTTGTTTAAGATATGGATCATTGGCTGTAAAGAATAGTTTGGCTTGTCCCCAACCCTTGCCTTTCATAAAGGTAGTAGTAAAAGATGTGTCACATTTTGAGTGGTAGGAATATCTTGGAGTGGTCACATTTCGGAATTGTTCTTGTAGAAGTTTTGTTCTGATTCCTAAATCTTATCTGGGGTCTGGGGATTTAGCTCAGTGGTTCTGCTGCCTGCCTCACAAGCGCAAGGTCCCAAGTTCGATCCCTGGTACTAAAAACGAAACAAAACAAAAAGCAAACAAAAAAAAACTTGTACCTAAATCTTATCTGGGAAAGAATGACTACATACATATTCAGCCCTATTTGGGAAACTACCTTTCTCTTAATTGCGTAAAACTCTGTACAGTTTGTTTTTACTTGATATGATGTGAAATTAAGAGAGAAAACAAAGATTAAAAACTGTAATATAAAGACAAGAAAAAATAGCATTTAGGCAAAACGTTGTTTGATAGACTTCAACTTTTCTTATTCTCTCTCCAGAACAGAATACGTATCACAGCAGGAGTTTCAATGGGTAGTCTAAGAAAAAAATACATTAGAATACATGCTGGAGTGCTGACATGGCATCAAAACATAGTAGGATATATGAATTCAGTTTACAGTTAAAATTTTGTCAAGTTTATTTTAGTATTATTTAGAAAGCCTAAAGTACATTAAATCCCAAGGGATAGTCCCAATTACTTCATTAAACTGATGCTTCATAGGGAATTTTGCTCTGATAGAGATCAGTCACTGTGGCTTGTAATTTATTTTCTATAAAGAATATTGAAATAGGTTTAGAGGTTCACAGACAAAAAGATATTCATTAAATACTGTAATTTGCTAATACCACCGGTAAAGTAGAATTTCCCTATGAAAACAAAAGCTTCTGTAGGGAAATGTTTTGGGGGATAATTTGTTATTAATATTTATTTTAATTGTTTGCTGTTTAATTTCACTACCATCTATTCTGAGTGGAATATTTAAAATATTTATGACTGGATTTTATCCTCAGATATTACTGTATTTAATGGTTATATAAATGTAGAAATCTGTTATTTTTAGAGGGACAGTTTATGTGTTTTTGTAGCCAAATATCTGAGTTCAAGCTTGAATAAATATAAAATAGAATATACAGAATTTTCAATGTTATTTCAGAAAATTGGAGCAAGGGCAGATAGGATCAGTTTAAACCCCACTTTAGGTTACCTTTTTAAAACTTTGTTGATGTGAAAAACATCTTGTGAGATAAATTTGTAGGCATACACATTTAAGTTTTGTTTGGAGATTTCTCTAAAATCTAATTTGAGGATTTTAAAAAATTTCTTTTGTTTCAAAGTCATATTCATTGGACTTACTGTTTTTGTAGCTAAGTGAACAGTTAAAAGCCTTTGTTACTTAAAATACCATATGGGTGACTACTTCCATTTTTCTCTTGGAATATTTTCCTCTAGGATTCTCTACTTCATGTTTTTGTGTTTTTTTGTTGGTTTGTTTTTTGGTATGGGGGATCGAACTTGGGTCCTTGTGCTTGTGAGGCAGGTGGTGGAACTACTGAGCCAAATCCCCGGCCCGATTCCCTACTTCTTGAATCCAGATGAATTTAAGACACTGGTGGAAGAATTTATTCTGTTTTTTTCAGTTAACTCAGCACTTACTAGGTGACTTAAACTGAAAATCTTTTCAGAGTATTAGTAGTAAATATAAATAGGATATTTTTGGGTGTAGGTGATCACTTTGTTTACCGTTGTATAAAGTTATACAAGATAAATCTGAACTAGGCTTTAAGAAGTTGCATGTTCAGCCATAAACCAAAGAACAAAAGCAACCAGAAACTTAAGCTTTAGGCAACTTTACTGTGAACTAAACATTGTAGAAATCTGATTGTGTCTGTACCAGTTTGTGTACTGTGTATAAGAATATATGCGTTTCTCTTGTAGCCACGTCATGAATATTTTAATGTCCCTGTGTACTAAATGACTACTCATCAAGTATGCAGCATTTCCCAGAGGAAATAGAGAGCTGATATACTTATGAAAGAAAATGTCCTCAGCATGGTGACTGGTTGTCATGTAAAACAATCATACATTTCAGAACTAAAATCCTGACAGTTGTATTTTTTCATTCATAATTTTCTTTCTTGTTTTTAGTCTGTATGTGATCTTAATGTAGTTTATTCCTGTCCACAACTGGTTTAATTTCTTGACAAAATATGTCCTATGTACTTTTATCTTAGACACATACATACACATCTGTGATTAATCTTAGAAAAACATGGCAATTATTAATGTTACCAAATAAAATACAGCTGAAGCGCTCCATCAAAATAAGCAATGCCATAATATCGAGTGGCTTGTTGTTCAACTGTTGAAGAAAACAACTATGTTTAGTGTGATTATCTTATAGACTATATGAGTTGATGTTATTTAATGCTTTGTTAACTATAGTTTTATATTTCTGAATACTAAAACCTTTAACATCAATTACTATTGTGTATGCTTTTAATAAAACTTACAGCGTATTTTACTGTAAAAGGAAAAGTACCAAATAATTCATTGTTTGTATCTACAGAATTTAAGGCTTAAGAAAGTTGTCATTAAACAGCAACTTCAGAAGATACCCAAACTAGTTTGCCACTGGAAGACTTACAACAATGTGTTGTGAACAAACTTAAGTGTTAGGCAGATATACAAATCAGTTATTTCCATTCTTACCATTCTTGCTGTAAGACACTGCATTGGAAGCACTGGGAAGCCTTGGTCTTTCATTTCCTTTTTCCCCCTCCATCCTTCCCCCTGCCCTGCACTATGTTGTTCATCTGTTTTTTTTAATGCTGCATAAATATGCGTTGTCTCATGCCTGTTTGCTTTGGATGCCGTGTGCTAAATTGTAACAAAATGTTGCTTCTTTTGTTATCTGTATACAGCTGCTTGCTTTAAATTATTAGATTCTGAAATAGCTTTTCTTGCATGTCTAAAATAAAAGTATTGCATGTACTTTGTCTCATGTGAATGACTTTTTTTTTCATCCCTTTTGATAAAATAACATTTTATATTTTCATTTTTCTAGGTATTTTTTAAAATTGTGGTAAAAAAACATAACATAGAATTTACCATTTTAACCATTTCTAAGTGTACAGTTTAGTAGTGGTAAATATACTCACATTGTTGTGCAACAGATCTCCAAAACTTTTTCATCTTACACAACTGAAATTGTACCCATAAATCAACCATTCTCCATTTCTCTCTTCACTAGGCCCTGGTAACCACCATTCTACTTTCTGTTTGTATCATTTTTACTACTTTAGATAACAGTTTTTCTAGATAATTTGTAGCTACAGTTTTAGTATAAACGTGAAAATTACATTTTATAAACAATTTGTGAAAAAATTCTACTTATATAGCCTTAAAGAAATAAAATGTGTTAATGAAACTAGGCCTTTTAGAAAGGACAGATATTTTAAATAATGTATATTCAAAAGGTAACCTTATTCTCTTCAGGAAATGGTATATATAAGACGTCAGGCAGTGAGCACAGAGGGGAAATATGACCAAATCCAGGAAATAGTTGTGAGCTATTTTTACCTGCAGAAAGTGAAAATGCAAACTACAGAATTCAAGGTAGATGTCTTTTAATTAACATATTAAAGGTTAAATGAAGTTTTCTTCTTTTTAATATGTATGTGACTAAGATGTCAGTGTATTATAGACATTGTAAATGGCAAAGATTGGCGTGTATCACTATTGGGAATATTACATCATTTCCACTAGACTATCTTTAAATGCTTGAAAACATGAAAATTTCAAGACACAAATATGGGGGAGTAGTACAAAGAACCATCCACTTAACTGCTGCTTCCTCAAGCACGCTGCCCTCCAGTTTTGCTTTAGAATTTGAGCAAGCCCTAGACAACCTATTATTTTCATTTTTAATACTAAAGTATGTGTCCCTAACAGATAAGTAGCACAACCAACAAAATGAAGTAATTCTACTATCTTATGTCAGACTCAGTTTATCCTAATTATCTAAAAAAATGCCTTTTTAAAATTTGCTTATTAGAACCAGATTCCAAATAAGGCTCATATTACATTTCACTGATAATGTTGTAAGTCTTTTGAATTTTCAACAAGCCTTTTGTTTTTTTCCCCCTTGTTATTTTTTATGCTTCATTTATGCCATACAATTTATGGATCATTTATGGCCATACAATTTTCTACATTCTGTATTTGGCTGATTGTATTCTTGTAGCAAAGCTTAACTTATTTATCCCTCATCTAGATGAATTTAGATCTGTAAGCTGGTCAGGTTGAAGTACAACTGCGGGGGACAGGGCAGGCAAGTACACTTCATAGATTAGGCTGCCTTTTAAACAAATACCTTTTTTTTTCCTTCAGTAGAGCTGGTTTTCACCTTTTTTTTTTTTGGTCCTGGAGATTGCACTCAGGACCTTGAAGTAGGCATGGTGCCATTGAGCTAAATCCTCGGCCCCTTCACCCATTTTCACCCATTTTCCTTCACCCATTTTTCATTACTACACATATTAACAGGTCATCATATAAACTTTTTTTTGGTTATAGTACTTGATTTCAGTACTAAATGCTAAATACCTTCATTTAGATTTCAGATATATAACTTTATCAGCTAATATTTTTGAAGGACTTCCTATAAATCAGGCAATGAACCTTTATCTCAATTAATATCAACATATGAAGGTAAGTACTATTCTTGTTTTCCAAATATGGAAACAAGACAATGGAGCTTTAAGTAATTTACGATTATGCCAGAATGTGCCTTACAAACAATTAAATCTAATGTTCTAAGGATTTATGGTTTAACATAATTTTTCTTCTTGTTTTGTGCTGTACCACCATTAGGATGCAAAAGTAAGTTTATATTGGCTACCAAAAATTTACATTGTTTTTCTCCCCTAAAATATGTTCTCTTTTAATTACAAAATTGCTCGTCACACCTAAAGCTGACCCTTTTTAATTTGAGATATGAAAAATTAGCCATTTTGGAATTTTTTTAAACGATTTTTACAGGTGTAGCTGCTTTGTCCTTTGATACTTAAAAACAAGTACTGGTTACTTAGATAAGTCAACAATGCCTTTTGTCCCAGAGTACTCTGGGGCGATCTGGGAAGGTGGTTGTCTCCAAAGACAGTTAATATGTGACCATTTTTTAAAGCATGGAAAACATTAGGTGAGACATTATGGAAACTCTAGGCTGGGTTGGAAAAGGGGTGTTTCTTACTCTTTATTTGGAAGTTTTGAATTTTAATACTAAGATCTTTTCTATAGGGCATATGATTGAGTAGCATTGATTTCATACAATGCTAGTGTGTTTACATTGGGCTTGACTGCTTTTTGTTATAGTAATGGTGCCCAGCACATGGGTAGGTGATCAGTAGGTATTTAACGAATACTGAAAATAGCCTTCTGTAGGCTCCAATGTTTTGGGCACAAAACCCTGAATGACAACTGGCTGTCAATAGTAGCATGCTCCCACGACACTGAATTGCTCTTTATTCTCTAAAACTAAGCATGTCCTTCATGCCAGCTTCCCAATTCTTAAAAGACTCCCTCCCTGGATCTGCTTACCAGAGTCTCACATTTTCCCTCCACAGGAAGCTGAAACCCCACGTAGTGTTCTTGAAGAAATTGGACTGACATAACTCTCCTCCCTTGTTGCTGACTCCTGTGGCATTTCACATACTGTAGATGGTCACTGCCTTCATGTCCATGTTAGCTAATGGTGTAAGATGATGTCTTGTCAGTATTACTGTTTTGCTAAGCTGCTTCATTCAGGCCTACACAATTTTTTAAAGGGAATTTTGGTTAATTAAATGATTAGGGACTTCATATAAATGTGAATTAGAAAGATACCTCTTCTGGATATTTTAAAAGGTTACAGGTCAGTTTCTCAATGATTATGTGCATATATGAAAATGACATGTATACATGTATATCAAACAATTTGACAATATGCATCTATACTGTATTTGACAAAGGAAACAAATTACAATGTGAAACTTGGTTTATGAAACCAAAGACTAGTGCATTTTATTTTATATAATACAAATAAAGGGAATTAACATGTCATGTGGAATGAAAATTTAATGTTGAAACTTTAACCAAAAAACAAACAAAAATTTTTTACCAAAGACCCCTATTGGTCTCTACATACTTTAAAACAAAGGGAATACAGACTTAGATGACTAAATTGGATTGATGCTGATTCACACTGAAATTATGTCCTAAACATTCTGAGTGAATGGGATAAGGAACAAAGACCACTTCATATTAGTGAGCACATAATTTTTAAGGCCAAGGCACATTTGACTCCTGAGATGAATATTTTGTGGTCCTAATCATTTAGCAATTTGGTTGGCTTGTTTTTTATGCCCCCAAATAAAGTGGGAATGCAAAATGACCACAAATTTTCCATAACAGTATCTTACAGAAACATCTTGCTTTCTTCAGTGTTGCATAAAATCATTGTTCAAAGAATGAATATTCCTTCTGGAGTGCTTGTTAAAGCCAAATTTATTTTGCTTCCCTATTGCGTCCTTCCAATTAGAAGTGCTGCAAACTTCACAGTAGTTTCCTTTCCTTCCATGGCACTGCCTAGTTATCAAAGTCTTAGAAAAATTTTTAAAAAAGCATTTCATTTAACAAAGTGAACATGAATGAAATAAAATGGCATTAGTTGGCCCTGTATTTTTTAAAGTTCTATAACTGTTCAGCATCACTTTTATACATCATTATACATATCTAAACATTGTGTTTATAGTTTACACTTTCATTTGTATATGCTGGGCTGGATTAAGCTTTGTTGTGATTGTGACCAACATTCAGGCCACGTGAGCACTGTCTTACCACATTGCCAATTAGTTGTAATAAATGTTCAACCTACAAACACTGTAGTGTGTTTTTCTCTTTCCAAAAGTTTGTCAAACTGGAGGGCTGCTGAAGGAAGATTTTTTTCCCCAGTAAAATGTTGGTAATTTCTTTCCACTTGACTCCCCCCACCCTTTGAGTGTAGTGGTGGGCTATAAGCACACACACGAAAAATAGACGGTTCAAGGAGTCTTGTACTTCAAATTCAATGTTAAAAATACGTGGATTCCATGCTACCAACAACTTACACATTTATTTTCAATCAATAAATGCCGCTTTAAAAACCTTGATGCAGTTGGTTTTTTTACCTTTCTGAACTAATGCTTGAGATCATCACAGGTAAACAAAAGGTATTCCAAATCTACTTCCTATGGTCCCCCATCTTTCCGGAAGTGCTAGCATTTGCATCAGAAATGGACTGATATTTGTAGGCAATGCTGCCTAACATAAGGGACAAATCAAAACTTTGGTTATAAATAGTTAAGGGGTCTCCTATTACTGCAGAAAGGGAATGTTACATTCTACAAATGGGATATTTTAAAGGCAAGGGAAGGACTACCATGAAATTAAGTTGCTAGTTTACTAAAAAAGGTTCAAGTTTAAAGTGCCTCCATCAATGCAGCTACTCACTAAAAAGCCTGCAGCCTTCTACCAGCAGTAGAGTTGGAAATCTTCAGTCGTAACTAGTAATCAGGTTCCGTGTGTAAGATATTAATAAATTTAAGCTCAAGATGGACATTTATCCAGATAATCAACCAGAGGTTTATAATGTCCCTTCCTCTTTCCAGTACAGCCCATTAACATTTAAGGGAAAAGTCATCAATGCCTCAGTTGTCTTAATCTCAGAAGGCAGTTTTTTTCCCTCCCATATTTATTAAGAATATTCAGCTTCGCAGCTGCAGATGCTCTGGTAGAACACATGCCTAGTATGCCTGAGGTCCTGGGACCCTAATAATAAACACACAAGCACACACACAAATACTCATCTTTGCATACATGTAGTCCTATAATCTTGGCCATAATTAGAAAAAATACTGAAAAATACTGACTTTAGTGATAATTATTCAGCACTAGTGAAGCTAGTAAGTCCAGAAATTTTCAGTCAGTTTTAGAGTAAAGCAAGCATTTAAGTCTAGAACAAATCTGATTCCTTAAAGTATTCTAGGGCTTGGGAATTTAGCTCAGTGGCACCAGTGCCTGTCTCACAAGCTCAAGGTTTTGAGTTTGATCCGCAGTACAAAAAGAAAAAAATTATTCTAAACCATATACTTGTTTATTAACTACAGATGAAAGAACTTTTATACTTAATATCATGCAGAAATAATCTTCATGAATTTCTGCCATTTTTTTCAGTATTGCATTTTTAAAATTCTTATTCACAAATCTCAAACTGCCAAATAGTACATATACTGAAATTCGAAATCCAAAGTATAGGGGCCAGGGATTTAGCTCAGTAGTTCTGGCGCCTGCCTCAAAAACAGAAGGGCCAGAGTTCAATCCCTGGTACCCCCCCAAAAAAAGTCATAAAAAAATTTATAAGGAGTAAGAACATCTTTTCTTATTTATGATCTGAAATGTAGGGACAATATGCTTGAAACTTTATACATTAGGGTCTTTTTTTTTTTAACCGTTGTTCTGATTTTTTTTTCTTGGTACCAGGGATCAAACTTGGGACCTTTTGCTTGCCAGGAAGGCACAGCAGCACTGAGTTACATCCTGCTGTGTTCCCACCACCACCACCACCACCAGAGATTGAATTTGGGACCTTGTGCTTGCCAGGCAGGTGTGGTGCCATCGAGTTAAATCTCAGGCCCCCATTCTTATTTTTACACCAGAATCTCTTTGACACTAGCTAGGTATGTTCACTAGCAGTGACTAATTTTCCTGTAAATGACAAAATAAGCCATATCCATATATAAAGAATACATTATTTTAAAAAGATAAACACCCTGGCAGAAAGCTCTCAGCTGAAGGGGGGGCAGGCTGCAGGTATACAAGGGAGCAAATAAACTTGACCTTTTAGCACCTTAAAACAAAAAAGCTGTTCAGCTTTTGCATATAGAAAAATCCACTATTTAAAAAGGGCAAACAGCCAATGGCCATAACAGTGTTGTGGAAGCAGCCAAGTTTATTGTTGGTAATAAAAGATAATTTGGAAATATAATACTCATCCTGATGTGATAAGCCTGAGGAAATGATCAGAAATGTGTGGAATAGTTAAGGAAATCCATCAAAGATTAGTCTCAGCTACTACAAAATTAAAAATCCAATGAGGATCTGGTTGAAGAAACTGGTAGATGTACACTAGGCAGTAAGTAAAAATAAAAGAACAAGACAAAGAAACACTATTTCTTGTGACAGACATTCAACTAGAGCCAAAAAAACAAAAGCAGTGCTCCACTGTTAACTCTCTCAAGGTTAGAACTACAAGTAAAGTCCATGTTGTTGGGTTTTCTATACTAAATACACTTTGTAATTATCAAAGAATAAAAGTATTTTTAACCAGGATTCTAGGCCCAGACTCATGAACCCATCTAAGTTCATAACACTCTATCCAAGTATGTAGCACCCATAAGATACACAATCATTTAAGAAAGCAACTTTATTTGGATTTGGGGCTCTGAATGGCTCTGTCTCTACTGTCTGACCTCCTGCCACCACCACTCCTAGACCTAGACCTGCTCCGGCTCTGGCTACGGGTTGGACTCCTGCTTCTACTTCTGATTGGACTTCGGCTCTGGCTCCGGCCGCTCCGGCTGCGGCGGCTCCGGCTGTGGCTGTGGCTGCGGCTGCG